CGACGTGTGTAGCGCCCAAAAAGATAACTCTTATCTTTCGTGTACAATTTACTTGTTGACCGATTGTACATTACTCCTTCTTGTTTTAATCTTACAACCGGCTCGACACACAACTGCCTTGTAAGTCCCCGCGCTCACGTGTACGCTCTTGCCTCGCTTCATCCGTCCGTTTCTTGTTGTAGCCCATCGAATACAGTCCGCTGTGTCCGACTCCAATTGCCTTCTGATATCCGCGCTTAATTCCGCGCATCGTCTCGGACTAGTATTAACTAGTCCTACAAATTGGTGACCCCGATTCGCACGCGCGAATTCAACTTTTTTCTCGTTTGTATTTTTTGGTGAGTTCGTTCCTTTTTCTCGATTATATACCTATATTCATTTGTTTCTTGCGTAATTTTAGTACTTTTATCGTATTTTGTTCGTTCTTTATCTTTCGACTCACATTTCGAGAGTGGCATCTGAGTCGTTTCACAGCGTAACCATGCTTACTTTGGCTGTTCCAAGTTTCATGGAACACAGTCCAGAAGTTTGGTTTAAGATATTCGAGATCGAACTAGAAAATAAGGGCATAACGGCGGACCGTCCAAGGTACAATCAGCTCGTCCCACGCCTTCCTCCGTCGGTAGTGACGCTGATTGAGGACATTCTACTCTGCCCATCGAATGAGGCAAAGTATGAAACGATGAAGCAAGCGATTTTGAAAGAGTTACGACCCAGCGCACGAACACGATTTGAGCAGCTCAATGGTCTCAAGCTTGGAGATCGCAAGCCGTCGGCATTGCTCCGCGAACTTCAGCGCATCGCTGGTCCCTTATTCTTGAGCGAAGAAGGGATAAAGGAGCTGTGGTTTGCACGTCTCCCAGAGCCATTGCCGGTAATGCTGTCCATGTTTATAGATGCATCCCTGAAAGACTTAGCTACCAAGGCAGACGCTGCGTTCGAACGTTTTCCGCAGCAGGCGACCAGTAACTCCGGTGACGTATTCTCACCGATGAAAACCGAATCCCATGTTTGTTCCCAGTCGCTAGACCGATCTGACTCTAAAGACGAGGAAATTGCGCTACTTCGCAGCAGGATAGCAGCAATGAAGGCTTCGAAGCAGCGTGTGCCACGGTCAAATGCTGACCACGTTTTGGCTACCGTTCATTGCGGCTCGTCTGTGCCTGCACCGAGTACGTCACGTTCGGCACGAAAGCGCAACATTTTCCTTACAAGTTCTCAGTCAGATAATGTCAAACCCGTCGAAGAAGTATGTTGGTATCACCGCCAATACGGTGGAAGAGCTAGACGTTGTCGGGCTCCCTGCATTAGGCACGACCCAGGGAAAACGAATAGCCCGCATACTAGCACTACAAACGTATCATTCAATAACCAAGCAAACCGACTGTTTTACGTTAAGGATCGACGTTCTTCCATCACGTTCCTCATCGACACGGGAGCGGAAGTCAGCGTCATCCCAGCGACCGCTAGCGACAAGCACTCGAAGCCTACGTACAATTTGCGTGCGGCCAACGGTTCTCCGATAGCTTCATTCGGTCAGCGCATGATGAACCTAGACCTCAATCTTCGCCGAGATTTTCAGTGGGTCTTCATGGTTGCGTCTGTACCCTTCGCAATTATCGGTATCGACTTCCTCCGACATTTTGGGTTGCTTGTTGATGCTGGTCGCCACAGACTTTTAGACGATCGTACGAAACTAGGTGTTGATGGTGTCCTTTCAGATGCCCCGATAATCAGCCCTGTATTTCGGATCGCAGACGCACCGTCCGACTACTTGAGCCTCCTCTCCGAATACCCGCGACTGGTTCGACCGGCTGCAGAGCTTCCACCAGTCACGACAGAGGTCGCTCACCACATAGTTACGCGCGGTCAACCAGTTAGCGCACGGCCAAGACGGCTTGCTCCAGACAAACTACGGGCAGCACGAGCCGAATTTGACCACATGCTTCAACTTGGTATCGTCAGACCGTCCAACAGCCCATGGGCGTCGCCTCTGCACATGGTCCCGAAGAAGGTTGTGGGGGACTGGCGTCCTTGCGGCGACTATCGATCCTTGAATACGGTAACCACGCCTGATCGCTATCCGATCCCACACATAGTGGATCTCACCGCCAGTCTGGCGGGTAAAAATATCTTCAGCAAAATCGACTTGGTACGCGCATACAACCAAATTCCGGTAGCCGAGGCGGACATCGCTAAAACTGCCGTGACGACTCCATTTGGTTTGTTCGAGTTTCTGCGCATGCCATTTGGCCTAAAGAACGCCGCGCAAACTTTTCAGCGTTTCATCGACCAAGTTTGTCGCGGTTTAGACTTCGCTTACGCGTATCTTGACGACATTTTAATCGCAAGCTCTTCACGAGAAGAGCACATACGCCACGTACGAACACTTTTTGATCGTTTATCTCAACACGGGGTGACGATCAACGCAGAAAAGTGTTCGTTTGGTGTCGATTCAGTTAATTTCCTGGGCCATCGTATCTCTTCTGCAGGCGTCGTGCCACTGCAGGATAAAATTCAAGCCATTATCGACTACCCCGAGCCTCATTCTTTCAAACAGCTCAGGCGTTTTGATGGCCTGGTCAACTTTTACCGTCGATTTATACCCAACTGCGCCTCTCTGATGCAACCCCTCACGGACCTTCTCCGAGGGAAACTCAAGACGTTCGAATTTCCTACCGCAGCACGCGCTGCTTTTAAGTCGCTGAAAGAGGCTATCGCCAACATAGCTTCCATAGCGCATCACGATCCGACCGCCCCACTGTCCCTTAGTACTGACGCCTCGGACGTCGCAGTCGGCGCTGTTTTGCAGCAACGCGTAGCCGACACGTGGCAGCCCTTAGCGTTTTTCTCCAAACGCCTACAACCTACCGAATCTCGCTACAGCACGTTCGGTAGAGAACTACTTGCCGTATATCTAGCGATACGTCACTTTCGACACGTCCTAGAAGGCCGCTCCTTTGTCGTCTTCACTGACCACAAACCCCTGACTTACGTGCTCGGCTCGACTACCGACCGATACTCTCCTAGAGAGTCGCGCCACCTTGACTATATCGCTCAGTTTACGACCGATATACGGCATGTCTCAGGTGTGCACAACGCCGTCGCCGATGCACTTTCCCGCATTCAAGCTATCTCCGCTGACGCCGGCACTGCTATCGACTTGGCAGCCATGGCCACAGCGCAACTCAACGATCCTGAGGTTGATCTACTACGCAGGTCTCCCTCATTGGACATACGACCCGTTCCGCTGACATCATCAGACGGAACGATACTCTGCGATTTATCTCTGGGCACGCCGCGCCCAGTCGTCCCACGTGAGTTTCGGCAGACCGTGTTCGACGCGTTGCACGGCTTGTCTCATCCAGGCGTTCGTGCATCGGTTAAACTCGTAACCGCACGATTCGTTTGGCGCAATGTTAATCGGGACGTCCGTACCTGGGCAGCTGCTTGCCTTCCGTGTCAACGCGCGAAGGTGCACAAGCACACGAGAAGCCCATTAGGCACTTTTCCGACGCCAGACGCACGTTTTCATCACGTGCACGTCGACCTCGTAGGTCCTCTGCCGCCTTCCAAAGGCTCGGTATATCTACTGACCTGCATCGATCGATTTACTAGATGGCCTGAGGCCGTCCCCATCCCAAATTGCTCCTCGGAAACAGTAGCGAAAGCTTTTCTGGAGCGCTGGGTAGCACAATACGGCTGTCCCGCCATCGTGACCACCGATCGAGGGTCACATTTCTCGTCGACATTTGCCATGTTGCTTAAGGATTTAGGCTGTCGCCACGTCCAGACGACGGCGTATCATCCGGCCGCTAACGGCATGGTGGAGCGTTTTCACCGCCAGTTGAAGGCAGCGCTACGTGCGCACGCAGATCCTTCATGGTCTGAAACGCTTCCCCTCGTTCTTCTAGGCTTAAGAAACACGGTTAAAACCGATTTCGACGCCACACCAGCGCAGCTAGTCTACGGTTGCACGCTGCGGTTGCCCGGACAACTGGTAGCACCAGCCCCATGTACTTCCACTTTTGACTACGGAAGTTACACTGACCGATTGGCTCACCAGATGCGTGAGCTACGTCCACCCGCTCCTCGATCGCAGAAGACACCAGTGTACGTGCCCGAGAAGCTGTCTACGTGTTCACACGTCCTTCTTCGCGCAGACGGTGTTCGACAGCCTCTTCAGTCGCCGTACATAGGACCCTTCAAGGTGCTGCATCGTGCGAGTAAGGCGTACACTATTGACCGCGGTGGTCGACACGAAGTCGTCACCATCGACCGTCTGAAACCCGCCTTTATGGAAGAAACTACCTCGCCTACTTCGTCTAGTAGTGCCTCGTGCGACGTCACAACTCACCGTACCAATTTTCCGCATGCTAGTGAAGTCCAACCAGACCACGATCACGGTCTGCAAGCTTCAGCAGTCCCGACATCACCCGAACCTAGTCCGCCGCCTCCCACGACCAATCGCCGTGGTCGGGAGGTACGTAAGCCCGTTCGCTTCTCCGACTATGTACAGTGTAAATACTTTTAACTTTGTAGATATTGTATATATTTGCCTCATTTTTGGTCGATTAACGTTTTGAAAACAAACAAAAATATCAAAAACCTCCGAAAAACCTTTTTCGAAAAAATATTCAAAAACCAAAAAATATTTAAACACGCAGCTCATTCGTTTGTTCCTTTTGGCGTTTTCTGCGCGTGTTTTTCTATTTTCTCGTCTTTACATGCCCCAACCCTCCCCTTCGATCGACTGGCCCACACGAGGAATGTTTTCGAGGACCCTGACGCGAACACTGGTCGCTTCTCCGCGGGACGAGGATCGCTTCTCCGCGAGACGAGGGTCACTTCTCCGCGGGACGAGGATCGCTTCTTCGCGGGACGAGGATCGCTTCTCCGCGGGACGAGGGTCGCTTCTCCGTGGGACCATGGTCGTTTTCTTCGTGGGACGAGGGTCGTTTTGGCGCGGGGCGGGGTGCGGCGGGAGGAGAGACCACTCCCAAGCGCACCGTTTGGCAGCAGCGGAGGTTGAGGTCCTGTCGGCCTTTTTCTGGGCTAGCCAGTTTTTTGTAGTCCGACAAGCCCGCTCCAACGGCTCGCCGAAATGCACCCTGCCCTGCATTCAATAAATAACAAATCATAAACGGCACAGCGGACTCCGACTTCCGACGAACCCCCATTTACACGAACGCACGCCCATTTTTACTCGGCACGATTTCGCCTTACGAACCTGGTTTCAACATTCCTTTTCGATTTCGAAGGCTTTCTATGTTCAGCCTTCTATGGGGGGAGCTCTGTAGCGCCCAAAAAGATAACTCTTATCTTTCGTGTACAATTTACTTGTTGACCGATTGTACATTACTCCTTCTTGTTTTAATCTTACAACCGGCTCGACACACAACTGCCTTGTAAGTCCCCGCGCTCACGTGTACGCTCTTGCCTCGCTTCATCCGTCCGTTTCTTGTTGTAGCCCCATCGAATACAGTCCGCTGTGTCCGACTCCAATTGCCTTCTGATATCCGCGCTTAATTCCGCGCACCGTCTCGGACTAGTATTAACTAGTCCTACACCCTGCGGATTTCACTATAACTTATTGAGCGGCGGTCTTTTTCTCTTAGGCTCTCTACCGCGAGGATTCATCTACTACGAAACTAAACCAAATCTTATACCGCAGCCACCCGCGTCAACGTTACCGACGGTTGTCACCGTGTAGCTTCACCTATAAGTGCTCTACTTAAACCATCGGATTCCCGTTGGGCCATTTCATGCTACAAAGCCTGGTTCTTAGCACACCTTTTCAGCAACCATACCTGTGCTGCAGCTGCTGCATTTTCCCCTTCAATTAACGCACGGCTTCTGAAAACTGGTTCTTTCCTCGCCCGCGTACTGCATCTGTTTTCTTTGCTGTACGGTTCCACCTATGCGGATACGTAGGTTCTGTATACGCATATATTTCTTCGTAAGGCTATTTTAAGAAGGCGCACACATACACATGAATACATAGTTTAGATTTGCACACGAAACGAAGTAAGGGACTAGATAAGGCCCCAGGTCGTCAGCTCTCATCACTTCCTACTTTCCGTTAAGAAGCTTTCCTTACTCTGACATTTTCTTCCCTTTTTCTCTACCAGGCGTACACAGAAGCTTTTGCACTCTTATCTTGATCGCCATTTCTCGGTAGAGACCTTGAAAAAAATCCTCGTACTTCGCAAGACATAGATAGTAAGTTAGGACCAACAAGACAGCAATATTTTTACCCTCCATCTGTATCTTTCTGCGGTCTGAACAATGCGGCTTTAGCCCTTATCACAATCGGGACGTCTCACCAGCGCATGACCGTCTCGCAATCGTTCCACTTGGTTGCGACGCCATGGCGTTATGCTCAGTCCACCTCACCCGTAGATTACTCCAACTAGAATAATCTCCAGCTATTTGGCGTCATTATCCTATGTACACATTACCCACCTTGCAGGTTTGGTCTGCCAACAATCTTATGCTCATTGAATGTTCATCTATTATGATCTGTACTACCGCTTTTGTCCATACATGTATTCTGAAGGATACGGTGGACACGCCGTACCATACCTTCTACTGGTTTGAACAATTTGTTTTCAATACCTCACGTCTCTAGAACAGCATCTCACAAAATAGGGCTTTATCTACTTGCAGGATTCCTACTTACTTGCCATACCATGCCGTTACGCTTCGTCCATCTCGGCTGTGGATTAATTAGCTTGCGATATCACAACTTTCAGCTCCTAGGCGTAAACTAAGCTTTGGTAATCTTACCCACATCGCCATCGTGAGTTGCTATGAACTCACGATTTTCAGATGAATACCGGCTGTGCTCTTTACTAGTGCGTTGCTCTTGGCCATTCCAAAGACCACCGAAAGATCCTTGGCCTGTGTTTTCTGCTAGCTTCAACACTTGAAATTAAAGTGTTTTTACCTCTTTAACATCTCAAAAAAGCTTTATCCCTACTCAAGCGTTCTAATAACGTGCAATGATCATTCCTCTTGGACCTGCCTCCTCAACCACCAGGCCCGTGGCTTGGAAATAAATTAAAAGTTTATTCTCGAAAAAACAAGACACGCCTTTTAGGTATGCTCAGCCTGTTGCAACATTTTACAGGACAGCAAAGTTAGCGGGACGAGGAGCGGGATTAGTACAGGTGGAGGAAGTAGTGTGGGCCGTTATGGCCCAAAGATCTTAGGAAGTCTATCTTCACATAAGGCGATGTAGAGATAAGAAGCAGATCATTAATGTGAAGTATGTTGATGAGGCACTAGTCCGATGAGGTTGTGTACACAGTGCGGGTCAGGTGAGTAAAGCGTAAAAGAACTGCAAAAATGTTGAGAATAGGGGCATGTCACTAATTAGATATGTCGGCGTAGTCGTACGAGAGCCGATATATGCACAGAATTTGTGAAGTGTGGTATCGGTCAACTTGCCATTACGTGGTTGGGGCAGTGACTTTATTGAGTGGCGAGTCACATCCGCCACGTCGCAGTGTTGTTAAACAGACATTTGTGGCTTTTGTGGGGAAAACGTTTGCCAGCGGAAAGCTCACCAATTCCTGGAACACAACCGACTGTTGATATGAAATTGACAAGGTTGTATCTGATAGATTATCCTCGCAGATGTTTGCAGTCATGTTTCGCCAATTTGTTTCCAATGGTCGTGTAGTTGTCTCCTTCGGAGTCGACCGTAAGTAGTTGAAGCTGTTGAAGTTGGATGACTCAGATGACTTGTGCTGATTTGATTGCTTTTCTGGGTTCCTTTGTTTTGTCAGGATTGCAAAGTGCTGATGATCTGACTGTTCTGTGTTGATTCCGTATCAAGGTGAGCGTCATTAGCATGTCCTCAAAGATGTTCTGTGCAGTTAATGTTATGCTTTAGAGCAATGGAGAAAAGAAAAACGGATAGAGTAAACTGCCAGGGAACTGAACAAAACTATGTTATTGCATAAATACAAACTTTTGGTAGCGTTGTGCTGGTTAAAAACAATAGAATGGCCGAATATGTTATACATCAGACCTGTTGTTTCGCATGCCGGTACGGGACACGATATTGGTTGAATATCAGAGACCATTGCTGTCCGAATTGGCCTAGCCTACGCAACAGTTGCCCTAGCGGAAGACCTGCGGTATCGAGCGTTGTTAACCGGTGAATGAGTTGAGGGAATCAGAAGAACACAGTAAATAGTAAAACATGCGACTAAAAAGTAGATTGAGCGATCGGACAACAGTGGTACAGCTTAACGTTCTAACATGTATGAGAGCCAGTGGAGTTGTTATGCCGGGACACAGACTCATAAAAGTAATAACGTAACTTGTTCAGTAATCGGATGCTAGAGAAACGGCTGGGTAACGATGCGAGACGGAGTGCAAAAAACGTTGTGACCAGAATAGAAGAGACTATATCCTACAGCTGTAGCGAGAATAAGGTTGCGAAGCCAGATCTGAAAGGGACCTAGAAGAGTGGAAAATGATAGGGACTTCTACAGTGCAGTATCCATTTCAACTAGACAGCAGGAAAGGGCAATACTGGAAGTCGGATTGATTATGAGATGGAAACTGCCAGCTGTCATATGCTGAGGTAGGGACTGATAAATATCCAACGTTAACACAGGAGCGAGAAGAGAACGGATTGCATACTACGGCTGCAGAAAGAAAACGGTTGTACAGCCAGCGCTGAAAAGTCCAGTAATATCAGGATAGTGTGAGCAGCAGCGCCTAAAGATGCTAGGTGTTTCACTCAAGGTGGACATACAGGGTGGAACGTAAATGTCAAATATGCAGCCGGTTACTGAATTGCTAGCAGCCTGATTAATTGAAAATCAAGATCAATACACGATTTTAGGCTCGGCATAGACTAATAGTTGTACAGTGTTGAAAACAAAAGTGGGAACAGACAACGCTACTTGCAACAGCTGTGGCGAGAAAACGGTTGTGGTGCCAGCTCTGTAAGGGTTCAAGGGTGACGGAATAATAAAAACAGCACGGCCGGGCACTAAGGGTTTTACTGGAGGACTGGGATGTTGCGCTGACGCTAGAAGTACCTAGACCATTACTGCAGAGTTGCGATAATTACCAGAAGTGTTACCGAAGATAATGCACATTAGAGTAGGGTTATGTATAGGAGTGGATGTGAACTGAAAATATTCAATTGGCCAGAAGCTGGTGCTGGGGAATAAGGGAGACATCGGTCCGATAGACGGGGGAGGTGAACAATACAAAGTACGTAGTAGTAGAACGGAGCCATAAATGTCATAGAATAGGCAAGGATGTGAATGAGAGAGACAACGTTAATGTGAGCTGAAAAAATTTGGTATGGGAGCCGTGAGGCGAAACTCAATCAGAGACCGGAAATTTCAATATCGGCATGGTGGACTAACTACACAGTCAATGTGGCAGAGAGACAAGTAATATAAGTCTGTTTTTTTACTAATGAGCACCGTGGTCAACGGCAGTCGAGTCGCAAAAGAAAAGAGGCATTGCGCGAAGACTTATGGGCAATTGGAGCCTCAGTAGCAGGACTGGTCCAAACGGTTTAAGAATGAGAGGCATGGTAACGTAGGGAATCTAGCAAGGACTGGAAGGTGACACTGGCGATATGGGTACCCAGAACAATAATGTTGAGTTGCGATGTTCACCAGATGAGGTACCAAATACAATATACATTAGACTAGGGTTAAGTATAGGTGTGGATGAGACATGGAAAGTTTCAATTGGCCTAAATCTGGTGCTGGTGGAATTAGGGAGACATCGGTCCGATAGACGGGGAGGTGAACACTACGAAGTACATAGTAGTCAAGATCTGGTAGTAGAACGAAGTCATAGATGGAATAGAATGGGCAAGGACGCGAATGAGAGAGACTGACCTTAATGTGAGCTAAAAACCTTGGTAGGGGAGCCGAGAGGCAAAACTCAATCAGAGACCGGAAATTTCCACTTCGGTAAGGAGAACAAAGTATACGGATAGTGAATCAAACAGCGACAAGTATTATGATGCTGTTGCTTTTACCAATGTTCATTGGGTCAATGGCAGTCGATGCTTGGATGAGTATACTGCATTTGAAATACCTGACCATTATTACTCTGCGTTCCTTGGTCACCTGCAAAACTCTGCATCTCAATCCAAATAACTCTATTCAGTGCATTACCGCCGAATCCATTT